TCGGAGCCGGACAGGCAGCCGCGTTGGGGTCCCGTGGCACGGCGGTGCGGCCGAGGTGCAAAGGGTGCCCTCTGCTAATAATGCGTCGTGAGTATATGTATCACGAATCACATGTGACAACACACGTGAGGGATTGATGAAACATTTAAATTCCAACAAAAATTACGAACGTGATTCCTGACTTTTGAAATCAACTTCTATGTTCTGAAAGTTATAGAAAAAGAAAATGAAAGTATACGTAAAGGTATTGAACCTTCTTTTTAAAAAATGTTGCGTCATTGACGCAACGCGACTCTTTAACCTTTGTTGGACATTGAGCGCCTTTGAGGAGTATCCCTCCTTTACTTTTTTTGTCACGTCTCGTCATGTCCCAGTCAGTACCTTTTATCCCTTCGGCCAGGGGTTCGACGCCGTTAGATCCCGGGCACCTAACTTACCCAACCAGGAACTCGCGAGTCTCGAATTCGGCTACGCTGAATGAACATTATGAAAGTCCTGCAGAATTAACTAAGGAACATTGATTGAGATGTGTAATAATATTTTTCAGTTTTATTGAGTAATTTGGTTTTTCTCTTCGATGTGTTGGGAACAAGCCTCCTAAACATATTTAATGCATTATGTGTCATTTTATAATTTTCACATATTTTGTCTTGCACGTCTTGTTATTTAACAGCAATCCACCTTTCTACAAATATAATGCCAATTGTAGTTCTTGTTTAATCATTCTTACGAATATGTTACGAAACAACGGCAGTTTCACAATGTTACGCGGAGCCATCCGCGGAGTCGTCGCTCGCCAGAAAGTTCTTCGAACGTAGCCCACCCGATCCGATGTTCTCGGAACTGTTGCGTAATACAAGCAGTATATATTAGCTTTGCAAATCTCATCAAAATTGTCCACTTTTAAATTGTCATATGCGTATGCATCTCTTTTTTAGTTAGTTCAATGTAACTTAATGATTTCAAATTATAACCAAAAGTCGATTGGCTGAGTGCTATGGTATCCACCATAGCCGTTCACCCTTCAGCCCCAGAAACGGACACTCGTCGAACAGTGATACTTGCAGGGTGTGATCTTATAACCATCCTGCTTGCACTCTACTCACAAATTGTGCCAAATCACCGCAATAACTCACAAAATGCGTGTGAACAGTACATATTTAACATGTGTACAGAGTAATATAGACCAACATTAAAAAAACTGCAGTAAACTAGCTTTAAAAAGACTGCACATTTTTTACGCCTGTGGCACAATCGCTCGTAATTCGATTATTTGTGCTTACACGTAAAAGAAAGAACAGTTGCAGTATAGCAGATCCATGATACTGTAACAAGTTCCCTTGCTTACTGTATACTTAAGAATATACAGCAACTGTTCTTTTTTTTCGTGTATGAACAGTTATATTTGTGCTATGCACAGTGTAATTTACAACTACGCAATTATCCGAACTCAGTGCGTGAGTATACTGCACCATTTTGCTCACAGGGATGCATTCTTTGCTAATTACTCGTAATAGTCGGACTGCATACGTAATATGAACAATGCATTACTTGTCACAATGAATGCCTCAGCGGGACAAGTGTTAAAGTTTTCTACTGCATTGTGAAAACCCGAACTGCTGCTCCTTGCCTCGAAATCCGCGCCGGCCCGAACACCTGCCTCAGTGCCTGCCAGTCATATGCCTACTTGGTCAGCAAGCATCAGCATGCCCGTGGCATTCCACGCAGACACGTCTCACCAACAATATTGTTTCGGTATAGTGTATGTGTAATTCCTTATTTATGTGTTGTAAATTCATCTCGATAATGCCATGCTACTTACCATTCATTCAGTGATATTCTCAGAGTGCCCTTTAATGTGCATTGTCATGGATCATTAATGTCATTCTTAATTTTAACAATACCTACGGTGTGTTTCAACCTGCACAAGGCATTTGTCTCAGTGATAATGCTAACAGCTGTTCTAAATGAACTAGTTTCAATTCACGTTTCTAGGGTATTCAAACTTTAAGTAATATTCAATTAATCTTTGTAAAGTATGCAATTGTTCTCAGTTTAATTATACTTACCTAAATAAATTCAACATTTTCTAAACCTTCCTGTATGATAGCTCTCCTGCCATTAGAATATTATTGCCATTTCCATTGCCATTTCAGATGCATCACAGCGTGATGTTAACTTACAAACATGATGGTCCTTCGAAAGCTATTGAGGTACGTGGTGGAGCACAAACCACAGGAACCCTTAACAATCCACTGCTCAAAGGCTGCTTGCTCTTTCCGCTGTGTTACTCTTTTTTATTTTCTTATGTGCTTCGACTGTTGTACTTGTCAAGTTGTTCAAAATAGGTCGAAAGACAAATAACATGGTGCCCCGCAGAACCATTTCAGAATAATAGGTCAATTGCAATGTGTGCCCATGCAAAAATTCCTTCTGGCATTTCAAAGGATAATTAGAAGTTTTATATTCAGAAGTAGGTACTCTGAAGTGAGTTGCTAAAGAGTGGTACCACAAAGCCATTTAAGACGTTACTTCCTGGTTTGAGTTTCATTTAAAAGAAAATGATATACTTTGATTCTTGTTTGATGAATTACCTCAAAAGAAAACAGTTGTTGTGGGCTTGTGTTTACCCGCGATGTTTCTCGGACAGGGTATTTTGTTTAGATTTTAGATCAGCGTAGCAGGTCAGTGAACGTGTGGCGTCTTTGCCGGGGCAATAAATTACAGACGTGAACGGCTTGTAAATATTTAGTATTTATTAG